ACTCTGCCTACCACGGGTATCGAAACCCGGTTTCTAGCGTTGTAAGTCCGCAGACATACGGCTGTGTCACTGGGGGGCAATCGGAAAGAAGCTCAAAGTTAATATAAATACAGATATGTTTTCATAATTTTGTGCATATGTAAGAGATGTAGGTGTAATACTCGAAAAGAAATTCTATATCTGAAAAAAATTTGTCTCCTTTTAATTTTACAAATAAATCATCTGTTACAATCTCTAAAAGTGAATCCTGGAGACTTTCAAATTTTGAATAAAATGTTCGTATAAATTCTTCTGTGTGGTGAAGGGAAGAATGAATAAACCAATTTGTATTTTTCAGTTGGAAACGTGATGTAAATTAGTCTTATATTCCCTTAAGAAGCGTCTAATTTTATTGTGCGCATGCGTTTAACTACTATTAATGAGATGTAAGACCTGCACCACAAATCAAATGATTCTCATAGTTTATCATACGAAACATTCCTAAAAAAATATTATTGCAATGGCTAAAAAAAAAAGAGAAGGGAAAAAGGCTAAAATAGTATATGTTTATTTATTTATTTGGCAAACTAAAATTTTACAGTTCAACCAAAGAAGTAAATACAGCAAAATATATAATATGGGGCTCAGAAATGTAAAATTATTCGGACAATATGGAAGACTCGCATATTTCACCATAGATTTAACATTATAAGAAAAATACAATCGTTCCAAATTACTCCTTGCGATCATAATATAAACCTGTTATTAAACCCAATGACTTATTAATGTTATGTTTTGACTTCACTGTGCGTTCCATCTCTCTCTTGTTACTTACCAATAAGATTACAAAAACATGTTTGAACTATATTTGTAGGTACAAAGAAGGGGTTTGGAGTACAATGCTGTTCAGTTTGTGCCCTAGAGTATGATGTACCAATCATCTGTTTCCACGCTAACTCTTCTAACGCTAAAACCCGGTTTTCTATACCCGTGGTGAGCACAACACAGATAAGCCCAGTGTGTAAACCATTCTAATTCATGTTAATACTTTTTTTTCCTACTCCATCTCCACTGTTGTTTTGTGGAAATTCGATTAAGAACGAATGTCATTTTACGACGGACAGTAAATGATTTAGACTTGATTCAGTACTGATAGTAAAAAAAATACTTTTGTAGTTTAAGTAAATATTCTTATCTTGTCATAACAACCTGTAAAAAAAATTAAATTCGGAGTTCATAAAAAATAATAAAAACTGCTTGTACGTAAGGTTTCTCAACCTTTTGCTTCTGAAGCCCACATAGTTATTTGGCACAATAATAAAGGCCCACGAATGAAGTTGGTGAGTCGTTAGTTTAGAGCAGTCACAGTTCTCCCGCCCCACGGCAGCCCAGAACTGCGCGTCTCACGGCCCCTCCCGTTGAGAATCACTGTACTAAAGTACAGAAATCTTTCGAAAAAAAAAGAATAAAATACACAAATATGGGTCAGTAGAAATGGGCGAATAATCACGTGCGTGTAATTATTTTGTGTTTCAGAACTATATTGATTCGCATTTGAGAATTCCCGATTCATAATTGTAAAATACCTGCACTATTATCTGTGTAACATACACCCCTTGTTTTTAAAAATGTGCTCGTTCCAGACGTTGCCGAGGGATGACGCACGCCAGACGAATCATAGACCGAGTGAGCCCCCTGTAAATAATGTTTTTTTGCTGAGATCAGCAGTCATACGAGATAATCGTATTTCAGGGTAAACCTTTGCTGTGGATGGTGTCGGTTATCACAAAAATTTGATTAACTTGTTATAAACAGGATTTAGGAGAAGCATTTTGTCTGGCTGAAGCTACAAATTTTCGTTTTATAGCTGAAATTACGTAACGAATTTTTCATAACATTTTAAGAATGTTAAGCAAAGCTGCAATGGGTATATATTCTGCAGTAACGATTTTCAGTAAAGTCACAAAAAACTCCACAATGGATTTTCAATAAACAATACCCATATATCTATAGTTAAATTTCTAAAATAAAAAGAACAAGAATGACACTTTAAACCTAGTTACCGTTATGTTACAAAATTTATCTTTGTTTGGATTTAGTATTGTTCAAATCTCCCCCCTTTTCAAAAAAAAAAATTAAACCACTGATGTTTAGAATTTAGCTGATATTGTTTAGAAAGTTTCTATAAATTGTTTTGCATTCATAATATCAGAATTACACGAGGAACATTATAGGCCTGAGTTGCTTCCACGATAAACTGCTTATTTTCATTGTAAAAACTGGCGATCTGCAGCATAAAATGACTCCTTGAAACGTATTTCCCGCTGATCTTTGCGTTTGCTGACAAAATGTTGCTTCAAGAAGTAGTTGTGTGTTATTTACAGAACAAACTAACATTCGTTTGCAAAGAGGATTTGGTTTAGAAAAGTAACTTGGGCGGTAGTAAAGCGACACTGAATGTACAGGTAGGACCAATTTAATTTCTTAGTTAAAAGGCCCGTAGAGAAGAACAGTGCGTGAAATGAGTGCATATCTATCTATGTGTGGATACATATATCTATATTTGAACACTGGTACTCGTACCTTGAACCGTTGATGGCATTAGGGCACTAAATCGATCAAAGCACACGACAAAGCAGTGTTTCGGATTTGGTTACTATAGCAACCAAACGTCAGCAAGCTGTTCACTCACGGTCTAGTTGAGTTTACAGCACCTCCATAAGTTCCAACGATATGTATTTTTTGTTTCAGTTTTGTTTACGAAGGATTTCGTATTTTATTTTAGCTTTGATGCAACTTTGTGTATAATTACATTTTTCGAATATATTTTAAGAACCGTGTACTTGCTTAAGATAATTATATATACACATACATATTTACGTAAAATGGTGTTGTGTGAAAAGAATGGGCTCTGAAAACTGTTTACGTGCGCTATGAATTCAAATTCATATATATACAGGGAAAGGGGTGAGAAAATCTCCCTTTGAACCACTGCTTTTGCACAAGTTGAGTTTAGTGACTGAACAATGTTTGCATGTATTAAGAAGAAGAATGAAACAGGTTTAAGCTCGATTTCCTGATTAGTTGATCAATTTGTATTATAATAATAATCAG